CGGGTTGCGACCAATTCGGGCTGCGACCAGAGTCACGGAACAAATTAAGTTCGTCACCCGAGGTACCACTGTAACTGAATCCTGGGAAATCACAGAGGGAAAAACTGTATAATGAAAGACAGGACATTCAACAAATTAATCCACACCGACCATTTTTGGCCACCTTGAAGCAAATTAAGTGCAATAATACTATACTCATGAGAATTTCCCCAAAATTGTCTCCTCCTTTGGAATACTTTTCTACAGGAAAAAAAATCATCAGATGAACTGAGAACTAGTAGGAAATGTAAGATAATATTTCAGCACAACCCTAAACTGAAAACTGAATTGGCTCTCCAGAAGAGACAGCTCTCCTATACTGAACTCCACCTCTTAGCTTACTAACCCATGAACACTCACAGCAGTTTTATGCCATACCAGCCAAACAGACCCATTCTTCTTTCCCTTTCTTTTTAGCACTGGTTACAAACAGCAACAATGTCCTATGGTTAGGCTTCTCTGAGATCATCAATACTGTTGAAAAAACGGTAAATGGCAAAAAATTGTGGGGGCTCTTGGATAACTCCCTAACAGGTAGCCTTCGAGATATTGTTGGAACTACAGTCCCCACTATCCCACTGGTCATGAATGACAGGGCTGAAAGAAATTGGAGTTCATCCCAATCTACAATGCAAGGAGACCTTACGATTCAAAAAGCCGAAACCCACTCATTAAATTGCTACTGGTGTTATATTTCTGCCAACATTAGTGCTTATGGCAGCATTTCCAACATAGTCTCTTCTTAATATATTTAAGATCATCATGACTGAGACTATGGAAGCTGAAGTCCAATACCTTTTGAGGGCAGCAGGTCAGCAAAAGCTGCTGTATTGTGTAACTGTACACACAAACATATGTTAACAGAAGTCTGGTGCTGTATTTTTTCCCTTAAAAATTAAAACAGTGTTAAGAGAGTAAATGCAAACACTTTTTTCTACTGTCTGTAACAATCAGTAAATAAATCTATCATCCATCCATCCATCCATCCATCCATCCATCCATCC